CAATGAATTCTGTGCCTGAAAGTTGTACTATCGTTTATGAAATTCTATGTCGATGTTTTATTCTTGGTTGTATTGTGTTCTCTGAGCCAGCTGGATTGTTTAATCATGAGGACACTTTCATCGTCTTTCTAGATGGTGTCATCATCAGCACTAACTTCAGTATGAAGTGAGATGTCAGTATCTCTACGTGAGTGAGTGATTTAGTGGCTTGCCCCAAAGAAATGCTTTGTGATTGGTTGTTTCCTTTGATTGTTGTGTCATTGACAGACTGCATAGATTTTCTCATTTGTTGATAGATTAGGTCTACATCCATGCAACTTTTGATTGTTAACTGACCTGAATGTCAAGTTTCTAAAAATTTTCTGATGTTCTCCATCGTGTTTCCTCTCTCCATCCAAAATGTTTACACTGTCAAAATTGAATTCATTTCCATAGTTGTTATCCACATGCATTGAAATGAGTGATAAAATGTCTTGGCGTTTAATAGCCAATTTTAATCATGTCGTGATTTCTGATATATTCATTATGTATAAAGAAGAATTGGTGTGGATCATAAACAAACAAATTCCTTGCAAACTATATTATGCAGACCAAAAGATGTGACAACCAAAGAAGACAAACCTAAAATATCACTTACAAAATCAACTGGAATAACTGCAGTCAACACTACATTGGACAAGGTGGTCGGTCACTTCGCCTTCGTCTACATGAACCCCAGCTGGCTACTAAACGCCAAGACATTTCATCACTCATTTCAATGTATGTGGATAACAACTATGGAGATGAATTCAATTTCGACAATGTAAAAATTTTGGATGGAGAGAGGAAACACAAAGAATATCATCAGAGAATTCCTAGAAGCTTGTCATTCAGGTCAGTCAGTCAGTCAGCAATCAACAGATGTATAGACATAGACCCAATCTATCAACCAATAAGAAAAATGATAAACGACAGGAAGGTTGGAGATCAAGCAAAGGAACAGTCAACAGGAAAGTCCATACAATCAATGATACAACAATCGAAGTAAACAACCAGTCACAAACCATTTCCTCGGGATAAGCTACTAAATCACTCACGGAGACATACTGATATCTCACTTCATACTGAAGTTAGTGATGATGATGTCACTGTCTCAAAAGACGATGAAAGCGTCTTCACAATTAAACAAACCCAGCTTAGAGAACACAATACAACCAAGATCATCCACTTTATTATTATTATTATTATTAGTCCCTTGGGTTCCTAGTGGAACATAGAGCTTCAGTAGCACATCTCCAGTGAACTCTGTTCTCTGAGATCTTTTGAACCTAGTTCCACGACAGCCCACAAGCTCTCATTTCCTCCTCGCACGACCTCCTCCATGTCACCCTCGGACGTCCAACTCGTCGTTCCCATGGGATTCCACTCGAGGGACTAGCCTGACACGTGATGCCCCAGTCGGCCTTCTCAGTGCATGGCCAATCCATCTCCACTTCTTCCTGCATATTTGTTGACTGATAGGTTCTTGTGTTGGTTCGTTCCCAGAGCTCCTTGTTGCTTATTCTGATTCTGGCAATCCATCTGATCTTCAGTAGCGAGCCAGCGTAGGCAGTTGTTGATGAATGTCTGTAGTTTATTGGAAATCCTTTCGTGACGCGCCAAGTCTCTGAACCATACAGAAGCACTGACTTGATGTTGGTGTTGAAAATCCGGATCTTCTTCCACATGCTGATGCAGAAGATCTCCACACTAGATCATCCATTTGAGCTACAAATATTCTCCACTATTTCAACATTTTATTCTGATTAATTTCAACACATTCAGATTATACCGATGAATTCTATGCATAGAAATTGAATACAATAAGGTATTTGCCAATTTATACTTTAGATATTTTGCAGAATTTTAAGATTCTAATAGAAACTGTGAAATATATTTTTAAAACTTGGGCATTCTGATAGAATTTAATTTCATATCAGAGATTTTTTATTTGATTTATAACACACAGTGATCTAGTATTATTTACTCCTCATAATTATATTAATGTAATCACACTCCACTTTCGATATCTGATTCTTATACTCCTGTCACCCACCTCATATTCTTTGTTGGTATATTGGTAGTTAAGTTTTCCATATCTCTTGTTTAGGTGTTGTATCATTCCTATTACATATGTTGGGTTGGCTGCTGATTCGATGGACAACTATTCAGTAATTGTACTGGGTGGTGATTGAAGGTGAGATGAAAATCTGGACCACGGCTGGATACAAACCAGCGACCACCAGGTTACCGGCCCGATGCTCTACCAACTGAGCTCCAAGGTCCGACTGCTGACTAGAATTTTATTCCACTTCAATCACCAAGGGTTTTGCCCGACTTCCATGTGAATCCGTGACGCGTTACTATTGCTTGATCGTATTCACACTGACTGCTACCTAATCAGAACTTCGCATTCCAATCCCAATCTAACTGAATCAGAGAGGGGAAGCATTATGCTGATTATCATTTGACCATCTAAGATAGCCGTAGTCCGTCTGGGGTCCAGATTTTCATCTCACTTTCAATCATCACCCAGTACAAATACTAGTCTGCCAAACTATGGCTATCTTAGATGGTAAAATCATAATAAGTATTCAGTAATCAATCTCTTTGATTATATCGACTTGAGTACAGCAGTTTATCCCACCACCCAGCTTATTGTGTGGTTGCGTTAATCCATGCATTACAATATCCGAGTTACCTTCTAGATTACTGATCCTATTGGGATCTGTCATTCCATAATTAGATAAATTCCTATGTTCCGCTAATCTAACTGACCCCAATCGACTAGTTTCACCTATGTACTTGACCTAACATTCATTGGATGGAATTTGATAGATTACATTATTTTGCTTCACGACAAAATATATAGACAAACAGAAGGAGTAGCAATGGGATCGCTAATATCCCCAATCGTATCAGATATATTTTTGATAGTTGGGAAAACATAGCTTTACAAACGTTTATTCCTGCACAAAAAATATGGTGGCGATATGTATTACACATATCGACAATTTTCTCACAAACATAAACTCAGTATCGGAGCAGTCCAATTCACTCACGAGGAGATACAAAATGAACAACGAGAATTGCCTATGTTGGATTAAGAATAAAACGAAGGGTGGACGGTGTTTAGGATACTATCGTCTACGGAACACCGACGCATTCCAACAGGTATCTAGACTTCAGGTCATCTCATTCAATATCAGTCACTTAAGGCAGGTTTGGTCAAATCTCTAAATGATAGAGATAGAAAACTCACTAGTCAATGCAAAGACCTAAACAAGGAACTGAAACACACTAAAGAAGCATTATTAGTTAATAATTATCCTGTGCAGTTTATCAAAAAGTTCGTACATATACACAAGAAGCGAAATAGTAACAGTAACAGGAGTACGAATAATAACTACAACACGAGTAGAAAAGAGTTCACTACCTCCATCGTGCTACTCTATAAAAGAAACATCAGGAACTTCAGGTACAATCTTCAAGAAATCTGGGATTAGGTTGGTATGCAAAACTACAACTTCACTCAGAGATAAGCTTTGTCGGCCCGCTTAGGGATCCGATGGAACCAATTTAGCAAAATAATCTAATCTATCAAATTCCATGTAACGACTGTGAGTCAGGTCAATACATAGGTCAAACTAGCCGTTGGGGTCAGTTCGAATAGCGGAGCATGGAATGTAGCTAAATATAGAATGACAGACCGAATAAGATCAATAATGGAGAAGGCAACTGGACTATTGCAGTGCATCCATTCACACACAAGCACACAATACGGTGAGATGAAACCGTTGTACTCACGTTCAACGTAATTGGCTACAGACAGATAGAAGGAGAGATTGATTACTGAATCTTTCTCCATCGAATCAACACCTAGCTAACAGATGTAATAGGAATGATGCAACACCTAAACCAGATATATAGAAAATTTTACTGCCAGTTAAAACAAAGAACATCAGGTGAGTGACATAACTATAAAAATCAGATATTGAAAGTGGAGTGTGATTACACTGATATGATAATGAGTAATGATAATTTATGCTTGAAACATTGTCAAGTAAATAACACTATATCACTGTGTAATAAATCAAATAAATAAATCTATTATGGAATTATAGATTCTGTATTAAATAAAATGATGTTTTAGAGCTTATTATGAAAATTTGTTAGCGTAATGCTAGGTAGTAGCCAGCAGCAGAATCCAGAATGAGTATTTAACCCTATTTAGAACTCATTAACTAGATATACTTGCCTCTCAGACTCGAATCCCCAGCACCTGTAGCTTCAAACACTAAAGTCTTAACCACTAAGCTATTCATAATAGTATTAGAAATATTAATAATAACAATAATGATGGTAGAGATGGATAATGGCTAGCAGTGGAATCTAGGATGCTCATTTCGCCCTATTTGGGACACGTCAGCTGAATGTACCTGTCTCTCAGTGAGTGATGTTATTCCCACGGGATTCGGACTCGGGACCGATCGCCTCAAATGCCAGGGCATTACCATTATACCACCAAGCCACAATATCCACTTCTTGTGCGATGGGCATAGCTTTAGTATAATTAGTATAATACGAGTAATTATACTAATTATACTGAGGCGATCGGTCCTCAGTCCGAATCCCAGTGGGAATAACATCACTCACTGAGAAGCAGATACACTCAGCTGACGAGTCCCAAATTGAAGGAAATGAGCATCCTAGATTCCACTGCTAGCCATCATCCATTATTACAATAATTAGAACACAGGTAGTATCGAGGCATCCACACAGGAGCCTATATCTTAATAGAGACCGATCAATTCGGTCCAATCAACGACGGCATACTACTAGTAGTAATAATGATTATCATTCACTTTTACATTATAAGGTTATCGTGACAACATCACTTTTGTAAACTTTACTAATTTAGTATTGAATCAGTTTTACCCTAACCACTGAGGGTTATTTTCTTTCTGTTTTTAAAATTTTAGCGACGAAAAATTGTAAGTTAAAAAAAAGAAAATGTCTCATTTTTTAAAGTTTTGTTTATTTATACTTTAAAGTATAGTAATGTTTTATTTCGATGACTTTATTATTAGTATTATTGTTGATTGACATCAGTTGGAGGAACAAAGGAAACCTGGGAGAACTCCACAGACAAATGTTTCGTCCCAGTATGGGAATCCTCAACAATGCGCACCCATGACCCCACCCCACCCTCCAGGGATCAAACACGCTACCTTCAGTTCCCGTGGCCAGCGCGTTACCATTGACTTACTGGCTCGGCGAAATCCAATCGTCAATATTTCAAACTTCTGGTAGCTCACGATATAGCACAACCACCACACAATGTCATCGTTGAGTAACTGTCCTCACGACCATCAAGCTTTGCCCTCACCGGTCACAACTTCTCATTGGAACTTCGGGAATCCCACTAGAAGCCAGTCACCAATGAGCACCAGTTCAATTGAATTTTTGAGGGAGTTGTGGAGATTTGTTAATATTTCAAGTTGTTATTCATCGTAGACTGACATCAGTTAGAGGAAGAAAGGAGACCTGAGGGCACTGGACGGTTGTTTCATCCCAGTATCGGTCTCCTCAACAGTGCGCACCCACGACCCCACCAGGGATCGAGCCCCATACTAGGACGAAACAGCTGACTGTCCAGTTCTGCCAGGCTTCTTTGTTCCTCTAGTTGATGTCAGTCTACAATGAATAACAACTTGAAATATTTCCAAATCTCCACAACTCCCTAAAATTTAGTATTATTGTCTCATAGTGTGGAAGTGAAGTCTGTTTATGAAACTGAAGTAATCATGAATTTGTACTTTAAATAAAAGTCTCCATACCCCTTTACAAGGTTGTTATGAAAAGATGAAACGTTTGTCTAAGTAATGAAAACTGATGTCGGTTAGGGAATGATAGTGAAATAATGGTTATGCTGATGATAAACCTGTTTTTACTAATGTTATGATAGCACGTCTCTGTATTGATGATGATAAGAGTATAGAATAGGTTCTGTAGTTAAAGTATACTATCCTCCTTACTGCGAATATTTTATACTCATCAACAAGAATGAGATTTTTTACTTAGATCATAAAAAATATGATTGCTACCTTTAAGTAAACTATTGAATAACCAACCGGAAGATTTTACCTGTTAAACGGAATCGTTTACACAATTTTTTCTCTCTCTCTCTCTCTCTTGTTCCTACATAAGTGAACTAACTAACCACAGACTACGGAGTATTTCTTATGTTGACCCAAATCCATACAGACTACTTTTTCTATCCAACTGATTTGACTAAACATTGTAACGATTGTTTTCAAACTGTGTGATCTCCACTACTATCTGCGTAAATATTGAACAGTTGAAATCAATAAATAAATCCCCACAAATCTTCAAATTGAATCATTCTTGTGCTTATTGGTGACTCGCTTCGAGAGGTGATTCTTGAAGTTCAATGAGTAGTCGTCACCAGTGGGGTCAACCAAGTCAGATATGAAGTAGATGGAGGTTGTACTATCTCGTGAACTGATAGAGTTAGGAAATATGGACCATAGGATCTCGACCCAGTGGCACAATCCTCAAGTCCTGACCACAGAACCTCAAGGTTCACAATGGGGTAATGGGTCTGCACTGCTATCGGGACAAAACCACTGTTTCTGTAACTGACGTCAGTCTATGGTGAATACCAACCTGAAATCAATAGCTGGAATGTGATGAAAAGGTTCTTTAGGAGACTGGACAAATGCTGATCTACACAGAAGTGTTCTAATTACCATTATACCGCTTACATACAACTTTTATTCATGCTATCAAATTAAAAAAATTATTAGTTTGACAAACCTGAAATAGCCGTAATCTGACAGACCTCTATTGATACTGGAAGATGATTGAAGGCGAAATGAAAGTCTTAACCGTACAGGATTCGAACCAGCGATCTTTGAATGAAATCCTCAATATGATTGTACTGAAACCAAGAACTTGTCTCAGATTAGTTAGTAGATCATGAAGCACGAACTTCGGAGGTTGATAATCGTTGGAATTCTACTTAACCCAGGTTTACATTTCACCTTCAGTCGTCACTAATCATATGAATTATTATTGATTATTATTTTCCCCTTGGGTTCCTAGTGGAACATAGCGCTTCAGTAGCACGCCTCCATTCCACTCTCTTCTCTCCAGTCTTTTTGACCTGGCAACACGACCACCCACAAGCTTTCATTTCTTCCTCACGCCATCTTCTCCATGTCACCCTCAGCTGGGACACTCAACTCGTCGCTTCCCATCAGGGTTCCACTTGAGTGCCTGGCCTGACACGTGATGTCCCCAGTTGGCCTTCTCAGTGTGTGCCCAATCCATCTCCACTTTCTTCCACTGCATATTTGTTGAGCGATAGGTTCTTGCTTTGTTAGTTCGTTCCCAGAGTTCCTTGCTGCTTATTTTTATCATTCTCGTCATCTGATCCTCAGTATCAAGTGAGCGTAGGTGGCAGCTGTTGATGAATGTCTGTAGTAGTTTGTTGGAAATGCTTTTCGTGATGCGCCAACTCTCTCAACCATCACATAGAAGCACTGACTGACTTGACTAAATTGTTGTTGAAAATACGGATGTTGTTCACGCTTCATGCTGAGTGCAGTAGATCTACACACTGATTCGTTTCAGATTAATGCAGGTACGCCTGTCTTGCTGTCTTCTCGATCCTGGCTGCTTTGACATACTCATCCTCATCTGTGCCTGTGTCACCTGTAGTTGACCTGTAGTAGCTGACTAGGTAGGCAGGTAGGTAGGTGGAAGAGACAACTTCCTTTAGATTTCTCCCTTTCATCGTGATTGGTGCTTGTTGCTGATACTGTTGTTGGTTGGGTATCTGCATCACCTCTATCTTCTCTACATTCACTTGAAGTCCCGTTTTCACTGCACTGCTTCTTCTGTCAACTTGTTAGTTTTTGCCTGTAGATCGTCAAGTTTCTGCGACGAGACATTAAACATAAATCATCATCACTGGCGAAATCCAAGTCTTCTAGGCAATTATATGAATTGACAGAAAAAATCGAAAGTCTTATTCACACATCATTAGAGCAGTTTATCTCAATGATTGAGATAAAAATTAATTTATTCCTTCTTTCCAATTAACCAGTAATAATATAATAGTAAACACAACAGAATCTATTTTCACTCACCCAGTTTTTTTCGGTTGTTTTATATCAATAACAAAAGAGTTGTATATCATATTGAAAGCTTATTCTCTTTTTTGGGTGGAAAATGAAATGAACATTAAAAAAAGGTAAAAGAAATTCGACTGATTTCTCATTTATTTATTTGTATTTTGAGGGAGTTGTAGAGATTTGGAAATATTTCAAGTTGTTATTCATTGTAGACTGACATCGATTGGAGGAACAAGGGAAACCTGGCAGAACTGGACAGTCAGCTGTTTCGTCCTAGTATGGGGCTCGATCCCTGGTGGGGTCGTGGGTGCGCACTGTTGAGGAGACCGATACTGGGATGAAACAACCGTCCAGTGCCCTCAGGTCTCCTTTCTTCCTCTAACTGATGTCAGTCTACGATGAATAACAACTTGAAATATTAACAAATCTCCACAACTCCCTCAAAAATTCAATTGAACTGGTGCTCATTGGTGACTGGCTTCTAGTGGGATTCCCGAAGTTCCAATGAGAAGTTGTGACCGGTGAGGGCAAAGCTTGATGGTCGTGAGGACAGTTACTCAACGATGACATTGTGTGGTGGTTGTGCTATATCGTGAGCTACCAGAAGTTTGAAATATTGACGATTGGATTTCGCCGAGCCAGTAAGTCAATGGTAACGCGCTGGCCACGGGAACTGAAGGTAGCGTGTTTGATCCCTGGAGGGTGGGGTGGGGTCATGGGTGCGCATTGTTGAGGATTCCCATACTGGGACGAAACATTTGTCTGTGGAGTTCTCCCAGGTTTCCTTTGTTCCTCCAACTGATGTCAGTCTACGACGAATAACAACTTGAATTATTTATTTGTCTCGAAGAGAGTATCGTAAAATAATGGGTCGTTTGGTGTTTTTGGTTAATTGGTTACCATCATCTCTCTTGGAATTTTATAGAAATTCTCTATCAGCATGACTGAAACATTCGATGATAGAAGGTGTTGAACAAATAAATAAACATTGTTGAATATCAATGCTAAGCACAAATAAGGAGTATATATGTTACCAATTCTCTATATTGTTTTTCGAAGGAATGAAACTATACTCTCACGAATATTATTGTCCAATAAGTAAGAATTAGCAATCTCATTCACTCATTTGACTCTGTCACTATGTAGACATTTATCTATTTTTGATTGATTCAAATTTGTGGACGATGATAATGACAACGAAAATCTGAACAGACAGTTAAATCGAATAGATTAACTCACTTATTGACATCAAATTGAATATATTCACAACAATGTTATACAACAGATCTCTCTAGTGTTTCATTGAACAGTGAATATAACTCTTTGATAATGCTATATACCTCAATGTGAATAGTATGGAAGATCAATTGCCATTAGTCTACAGTTCATCAAATGTTTATTCCTCTAGAGAAAAACACCTAATATTAATGGCATAAATCTATATTGTTGTAAATCGTGATACTTGAATAGAGGAAAATGCTTGGACATGGATATTCACCTAGATTATATGATTATATGGAAACTAATTGATTCCCCAAATAGTCAATCTCTGTTCTTCTACTCTACAAAGCTATAAGTATAAGAATTTATGGTGAAATAGATGTTAATCTGGTGTAACGTGGCATAATGAAGACGAGTGAAACATGTTGACTGCTTGGAATAGAAATTTGGAATTTTGTGTGACCTTCATGCCACCACCTATTATGGAATAAAGTATGACTGAAAACGATGTAAACTTTAACACTGTGTATATGCTGAAAGGTGATATTTTCTTGTTCGTTTTGATAAATATCAGAATCTTGTAATGTTTTCAACAGAACTGAATGAACTCC